GGGCGGAGCTAAACCGCAAGGCGTTCAACTCCCAGCTCAGCCCGAGCCTTCAGCTGCAGCTCAACAGCCTGAGCACGGCGTCCATGATCAAATCAGAGCCGTCCAACAGACCGTCCTTCAGCATAGAGAACATCATCGGGGTGTCCAGCGCCTCCTCGTCCTCGGCGGGCGCCGCCTTCCTGCGGCCTCCCGTCACTGTACAGTCGGCCCTGCTGAGCGCACAGTCCCTGGGTCTGACCCGGACCTCAGCCGCTGCCATCGCTCCAATCCTCAGTGTTCCGTCAAATATTATCTCCGGACACGTTTTACCGTCAGCGGCGGCGGCGGCGGCAGCAGCGGCGGCGGCGGCAGCGGTGTCCAAATGGCCGTCACAGTGACTTTTTTTTAAAAAAAACGAAAAAAAAAACTGAGAAAATAGACTCTTATTTTTATACAAAGACTTTAAAAGTGGGGGAGAGTGTGTGACGAGCACAAATCAAAAGGTAGCACTGGACTCTGTAGCCATGAACAGACTGTGAACAGAGACAAAAAGAAGGAAAAAGAAGAGAAATATTTCTGTACAGGTAATATTTGTAAATATTTAATATTTGAAGGGAAAAGAAAAAAACTTGTCTTTCTGCTCCGTCGGTTGTTGTTTGAGGTCTGTGATAATTTTATTTTCTTTTTTATTGGAATCTTTTACGTGGACCCGTTTTTTGAATTCATTTTCATACGACAGACACAAAATCTGCTTAAAAAATACAAAAAATGTTTATAAGAATTATTATTAAAAATCAACCATATGTAATTCTATGTAGCTATATTGTGTTGTAAACCGACTTTATTTGTAAATAAATCCAACAAAGAAGTAAAACTAATTCTCAGAATGAATATTTTTAAACAAGTTGATGGATTTGAGGGGAATGTTTTTATAAATGATTTTTGACAGGACATAAAAATGTTTTTGAATTTCTATTGAGACAAGAAGCTGCTAAAAACATTAGTATTGGAATTGTTTTAGCCCTTAAAATAAATGTGTTAAATTTCGGTCAAATCGTGAACACATTATTTAATGTAAAATTTAACCTGGTTATTATACAACAACAATTATTTTTTACAATATGGGAAAATAATTGAATTACAAAAACCAAAGGACAATATCTAGATATATTATAGAGATTTTTAGAATTTTAATTCATATTTGCATTTTTATGATAAATTAAAAATTGTTTAAATTAACCCGAAAATTCAGTAAAAGGCGCCTGATTGAATCATAACAAAATTGTATTCACTTTAAAAATATTGGGCTGCAAAAAAAAACGTAAATATGTAAATACTATATAAACAATATTATAATAAGAAGAAAACGATTTCAAATAAATATTTTGACATCTTTGGTGCAAATAAATCTGACAACTGTGACTGTTTAATAACAAATATAATAATTACAACTAAATCTATAATAATAATAATATTCGGTCTCTATCCTGACCCCCACGGCGGCCGCATGTTTACGGTTGTTTTCAGTGACAGTGATCACAGTTTAGACAGGCATTAATTCACTGTTCAGTGTCCGGTGTCGACACCACATCACTGCTGCGATCGTTTTACAGCAGATTCTGCGGCTTGGCTTCTATAAAGGTAACAGTTTCGCAGTTGTGTCTGGCTAATCACTTTTACACAAACAGCAAATGGCGCGTGTGTGTCAGTGTGTGTATGTGTGTGTGTGTGTGTCTCTCTCTGTGTATAGCTATATTTAACTGATCCCCATGGGAAACAGAAAGGGAAAGTAGCCCCGGTTTAAGACACTGAAGAGGTGCTGATAAAGCAAAGGCTAATATTATGTTAATACTATTAATAATATTGTTATTTTTATACTATAAAATAATGTAAAATAAATCATAATATAATTAGTTTTTTATTATTATTGTCATTGTATTCAAATAAAATAACCGAAACACCGAACCGTCATGATGCCTCATCGTGTCATATTTTTTATTATATAACAATATCTTTAGTCTCTCTTTATTAATAGTCCTGTTTGATAAACATCGGCGGAAACAGACACCGACAGTTAAATTAAATTATAGTCACAGAACATGCTCTATATAATTAATAGTATCTGTTGAGCTGAAGGGCAAAAACTAAAAAAACAAAAACAAAAAAAAAACAAACAATCAATGCAGCTAAAAGAGCGTTGATTATTTGTCGAATTTTAATTCCGATGGTCATATTTTAAAAAATTACCCCCACACTCGGTCTGTGAGCGTCATTACAGCGTCGGTGCCAAATAGTTCACATATTTTTCACCCATCGTTTTTCGCTGAAACTCCGTTTTGTGAAGCAGGTGCAAACGTTTTGGTTCCTTAACAAAGCAGCGGACAACACACTGTGTGTGTGTTAGTGTGTGTGTGTGTGTGGGGGGGAGAGAGAGAGAGAGAGAGAGAGAGACATGTATCATTTCGGAGAAGACGACCGAGATTGCAGCCGCTAGGGGGAGTCCGCTGGCACATACTATAGATATTCCTTTATTAAAGCCTTTATGAAATTTAAAATGTATTTTAAATATAATCAGTGCATTTAAGCATTGAATATAATAAACTAATATAATACTGTGAATATATTGACATATACTATGGCTCCAGATCTGTGTATTTCTTTAAGGATTTGATCATTTAGAATAAAATGTACTGACTTTATTACATAAAACAAGTACAAGTAGTGCTCTCAGTTACACAGATGTGAAAATAAAAGTAGATTAATAATCACCCTTAATTACATATGGGGATCTTCAAATGGGGAAACTCGCTGATTTTATGTGTAAAACCACATACTTATGTGAAGTATGTGGCTTTTATTTACAATTATATCTAACTAAGAAAAATACACATTAAAATAACTGTAATTTGATCAAAATAAAACGAATGCCTCCTTGAAATGTGAACGATTAATAATTATTTAGTACAAGCCAATAATACGATCGTTTACACTGAAAAATACAACGGTTTCCTTCCAATCGTTTAAAAAATATTATCACTTAAATTGACACCCAACTAACGGCAGCAAATTATAACTAAAACCGGATTGGTGACGTCATCCTCGAAGTGTTTTCCGACCGGACGCACACAAGACATTCCCGGCGGTGCGCGTCCTCAGTATACAAGCGCGTGCGTGATCACAGGTGGACAAAAGCCTGGTTCCCACAGCTCTAACAGACAGTCTATATTAGTCCGCGCAGAAGAAAGAGCTGCACCGTCTGTCTTGGACTGTGACCCACTTTAGCACCGAGTGACTTTATTATGGATGAAACCCAAAAATGTGAAGTCGTTCTCACAGTTCAAGCCGTTTGACCTTTAGGACAGGCCGTTTATAAGAGTGTTTACAGCTCTAACAGATGGAACAACGAAAACTGTGGCGCAAAACTGCACGTGTTCTTTTGCCTGCCCTGCATTGGACCTTGTTATCTACACATGTTTAATGCAATTAATTTATGATTAAGATGAAGAGTATTAAATATACTTAAATTGGAGTTATAACCATGACCCAGGTGTCTGCATGTAAAAGTACTAAGGTAGTAGGGTGATCCAACAACAACAACAAAAACAAAACCTCCTTCGGTTGAATTAGGAAGTATTACTTCAAAGAACCCAAGCTGTTTTTCAAGGTGATCCAACAACAACGACAACAACAAAACCTCCTTCGGTTGAATTAGGAATTACTCAGTATATAATACAGTATATCACATTGATTGTCATTGTACATACACTCAGCTAAATTTGTCCTGTGCATTTATCCCATCAACCCAGTTGTGGCTGCAGTGATTGCTCAAAGGTGCCTGGGGAGTAAGTGAATTTGTGCTGTGCTGACCAAGGTGGGACACAAACTTGCGCCCCCTGATTCAACTCCCCATAATACCAAAGATACTGCAGCTGACCAAGGTGGGACACAAACTTGAGTCCCCTGATTCAACTCCCCATAATACCAACAATTTCCCCCAGGGGTTTCGTTGAGGATTTCTGATTCTGACCAGTCCATTTCAAAGAGAACCTGCTTGACCTTGACTAGATTTGGGTTAACTCAACCAGACTAGGCTCTAACTCAGATAGACCTGACTCAACTAGACTAGAATACAACAGCATAGAACAGAATAGAATAGACTAAGCATCAACAAGAAAAGAACAGTCCAGACTAGATTTGACTTGACTATACTATACTAGACTGGACTGGACTGGACTGGACTAGAACACATTAGATTGTCAGTGTAAGACATAGAGTTAAAGTATTGTTGAATTACTTGCATTAACGTTTGAGTCCCTGTCTGTAAAAAAATCTGGTTTGACGAAGGATGTTGGAGCAGCAGCTGGCAGGTCCTGCTCCAGAGAAGAATCACAGATGATAGAAGAAGAACATGCAAAAGCCTGGTGTAACAATACAGCACATTGGGTTTGCTGGGTTAGGGAAGATAATGCAGTGGCACGACCCCTGAAGAGAGCAGCCAAAAGAAGAAGAAGAAGAAAATAGATTGTGTCACAACCATATATATCAATGGAAATATGAATCAGTTCAGATTTTTATGATCACAGTTGCAGTACTGTGTACTGGTCTGTTGACTGGTTTTTGTCCATATATTTTCTTGTCCACCCTCAGTGGACAATAGGTGATTAATTAAATGTCATACTGGTTAAATGTACTCAGTAAACTTTTTCCATTCCACTTCTGATGACTAATAATTTGCACATTTAATCAATTTAACAAACAAAACCCCTTTCCTTCAACAACAATAACAAATGAACAATTGAAGTATTGACACTTGGTCCATACAACAGTCCACTACAGAATAGCTCAGAAATGTAAAAACTGCATATCACATGAGCATAAAGACTTCATAAAAAGAAGGGGAAAAATACAATGTTAGACAACAACCTTCCTCTGAGCAATTTGCTCAACCTTCCATGCTGCAGTTAATGCAAACATTTAAATGACTAGTCTGAAGATGCAACGTTTTTGGCAAAAACATCTTGTGGTCGAGACCTTCATGTGGTTTGGATCTGGCCCCCCCGGGCCTCAGACTTTATTTGTCCTCACACTGACTGTCAAACATGTGACAAAATAGCCGGAAAGATCAACTTTGACTTGCTGTAGCAAACTTGGCAGTAGCTGTAATAGGCTACAATGGCATTGGCGAGCAAGGCCTGGGCCTCCATAACAACCGGGTCATCGTCCACCAGCAGCTATATCCTTCTCCTGGGTGGAGATCACAGACAGTAAATGTAGGTACAGCAGTTACTGAATATTTAAAAAGGCATAGAGATGAAGCAATAAATGACAAAGTAAAGCTGGTGTGGCTGGGCATAAATAACTAATGGTGGCAGTGAGTTATAGGCCTCTGCCGTTGTAATGAAAGTGTCATTGCAAATCAGCAGTTGT